TCTAAAAGCCGGAACAAATACTTGAAAAAAAAGCTTTTTTTTCTTGTAGTTGATAAAGAGTAAGTTTGGAACAATCTGTGCTACTTGCACGGTAACAGACTTTCTCTCTTTGCTTATAGATTCAGCAAGCGTTAAGTGACCAAGATGTTACAGCCCGTTTGTTTGCTTAGGGCATATCTTTGCCAGCCACCTTTCAAAGTTTCCAAAACTTGGTATAGTTTTTAGGGTAGTCTGAAATACTCGCCCTCAGAATGCTTCGAAAGCCTTCCTGGCCTATTTTGTAGCAATTTTACTGTTTTTGTAGTTCAGGATTCTAGGAGTCAGTCCAGGATTATAGCTTGTGACGAAAAAATGTAAAACGCTGTTTTTCGCAGCTTTGTTTCGAAATTTTGAATTGAGTCCACATTTCAATTGCTTTAATCTGTTCCCATTTGGCAAGCAAACACTAATTTGAGCCGTTAAGCAAGCATAGCTTGGGAATGCACTTTTTAAACTCCAAATAATTGATGTCTTTTTAGTTGAATGCGCGATTTAATGAAAAAAAAGAAGAGTTCTTGATTAGAGTTTCTCGACTCTAATATAATTCTTAACCAATTGCTATGAACTACTGCTTTTGAATTTTTACTATGATTTTTAAGCAATAAGTTATGGTTTTTGTTCCTTACAACCACGGCATTGAACAAAATTGAGGAAAAAAACAACCTCAACAAAAACTTTATTTTCCAAAACTTTGCAACAAAATGTTGTATTTGCTTTTTCGCGGAAAACTTATCAGTGGTCAAGCCTGATGTAACATTTACACTGTTTTACGATGTGGTTTTCTCAAAGCTCATAAAGATCCTTGGTTTTAGGAAAATAGTTTCGTTTCTCAAACGTAGCAAAAAAGATACTTCTAATTGGATTGTATTTTGTTTCTTGCATTATTTGAATTATCACTATTAAGGTTTCTTACCAAATTAACAGCTTTTTACTAAAATCAAAATAGAAAAGTAGAAAAAAAAGTGAAAAAATTCGAGAAATTTATACAAAATAAGAATGAAGATATGAACAAAATGTATGTTACCACTGTAAAGTTTTCTGATTCTAATCTACTCGAAAGTTCTTCAAAGTTTCAGATCATATCAGTTGAATTTAGAGGTGTAATGTTGATTGGCATTGAAATTCAAACTTTTGCTGAAATATCTGACTAAATTAGAAAGAATTAGGAGAAAATTCTTTGTGGGCCTTTAAAGGTAAATCCGCTAATCACTTCAAAATGTGGGTTATTTTATCTGCAAACCAATTCCAAGCACACAAAGCTGCCTTTAGGTTTGAGGCGAAACTCATAAAGTCGAATTTATTAACAGCCTGTAATGAATTATACTAATCCGAGCCCTAAGAACTTAAGAGACCGGATCACGAAACCGACCACACTGTTTAGCCGAAACACTTTTCATTTTCCAGTAATTGAGGTCACATTTAGTCGCAGCAGTCATAGAAGTTTTATGCTCTTTTTCACTTTGACCACACCTTTCAAATTTTCCATTTTCTCAGTTGTCTTACGTGTTATTATGGCTGAATGCGTAATATTCTGTGTCAAATTCTGACCGATTGTGTTTCAAATTGTTCGGTTGCTCACCATGCTAAGATTAATTGGCTTATGACAACGAAAAGTAGTGTTTCAAAAATTAAATTGAAAGCTTGGAGGAAAGTGGAAAAGAGTCAAAATTTAGAAGTCATTTCGTTTTTGTGCAGTTTCTGTCAAATGAGCGGTGGAACTTGATGAGATGCGTTGCCTTAGGGCTACGATGGCTGACACAGATTGGTATGATTTTCAGCTAGGGTTGATTGCTCTGCGATTTTCTGAGCTGACCTAATTGAGTGTGAGTCATAAATGAGAACCTCAACTCGGGGTATGAAGTAACTACCTCACCAAATAATAAATCTCATCTGAGAAGTTAATAGAAGAGTCGTTCACAGATTATAAACTAGTTTTACCCCCTTTGAACAATTATTCTTATAAAGCTACCAGGAACATTTGAGAATTGGTTATCATTAACTGTTGAACTTATACATCTGATATTCATCCAAACGCGAGGAAATTACATATTTTAACCAATATAATGTAGTAAGTTTACCAATATATTGCCCAATAATTAAATTTGAAACCCAATAGGGGGTACTGTGTGTGCGTGTGAAAGAGAGAGAGAGAGAGAGAGAGAGAGAGAGAGAGAGAGAGCTCAAATTCTAGTCTCCTCCAAGTTTGAGATTACCATCTTTTGATCATGCGATTAATTTCATATGGCACTACTTTATTTTTGGACTTCAAAAATAAGTTTCAAGTTACCGAGTTTCAAAATTCATCGAAAAGAGAGAATTCAATCTTGATTTGATTAAATACATTTTTTCTTATACATTACCGGAAATGTAGAAAAACGGTATTAAACGATGGATACCACGCTGTTTTTTGCTTGCTGAGCTAATTGAATAGGCATGAAATCAGAAACCATTTTTTCTGCTTTGGCAACATTTTTGAATGAAAATTAATTTGTAATCTGAAACTCAGTAAAAAACTGAAACAGAATGACGACAAAGGAAATCACAGTAATCAAAGGAAACAGTTATACGCTGATAGCTACCCCTTGCGAGTGTGATAATTTTCCGATTTTGTCATTTTCTGATTTTCCTTGCGGCGTCCCTGAAGAAAAAAACGTCCTTTTTCTTAAATTGAACAAAATGGATAATGGGAATCGAATTTTTTTTCAGCCACGCGTCTTTTTCATATTACTAAGTCATAGCAGCACCAACCAATTTTTCTTTTTTTTTCTGCCTATTTGATCATTTCACATTCATTCAATTTTCATGCATCTATTTTCTAACAACATACCGTCTCGTCTGCTGTGAACAAAAAACATAGCCTGAACGACTGTTTAAATAATATATTGAAGATTTTTCTAATCTAATGTGCCACTGTTAATTTTCATTCCGTTTTTATTTGATTATATCATAAATTTGTTCCGCAAGCACCGAAACATTTTTTTCCGACTTTCGAAGAAAACAGAATATTTATGCCTGGTGTGGTTTTTGTTCCTACTTTCGAAAAAATGAGGAATATATATGCTCGGGGTGGTTTTTTTTTATTCAGACAGACTTTAGAAAGGTTGACTGCGTATGGGCATCAATCCGGAAATCTTCGGATTGTCAAGCGAGTGTGCCTGGCAATCCGAAGTATACTTGGCAATAATACTTTGAAAGTTTTTTTTCAATAGGCGAATTAATAATGCGTGGCAAATTATCCCCACTCATTATCGTTCCAAATTGAGTTGAGGCAAGCTAATTGGTTTTATTAATTCCATAAACGACTCGAGTTTTAACACTGGTATTATCAGCCTAATTTTTGTTCCGAATTTTGATACGAAAATTACAAAATATTTGTGCTCGGGTGGGTTTTTTTTTCTTCAGACAAATTTCGACTTTTTAATTAGCCATTTTTCACAGAATTTTTTAAATGATATTCAAAACTTATTGTTGTCCTGAGCTTAAATTTGGAAAGATATTTCACTTGTGATCATTTTTCGTACAGTTATGGAGGTTTAAAGATTGCCATTTTGATCAATTTGGGACAATTAACGCGCGATATATTTGGCGCTATTAACGCGTGAGCGGAAATTTAATCCGTCTTGGAAATCTTTCCAAATTGGTTAAGGTAAATTTATTTGCCATAATTGAATTAATAGGAGCGAAATCTATTTTTTTTGTACTTTACATGACGTGTGGGGGGGGGGGGGTGGTGATTTCATAAAAAATTTCAAATTTTAGAGAAAAAAAGTTTTAATTTTATTTTATTACATTTAATTTTTTTTCGTTACTACTACTCCATAAACCTTACAAGGCAGCCAAAACACTCAGGGCTTCGCCCTGATACGAACAGTCTTGTTTCAGTTTGTCAACATTTCAAAAACTAAAGACTATTCGAAACTAATTAGTGGGCAGTCGGAACATTCAGCGTTGTTCTGATACGAGCAGTCCTGTTTGTTATTCAGTCAACTTCCGGCGATCAAAATAATGGTTTTTAAAAATTAATTTTTGTGCACCATTAAAGATATTGACTCCCTAAAATCAAATTTGAAAAGTTATTTTAGCTCCAATCATTTTTTGTAAATTCTTAGCAGTTTGAAAATTTCCACTTCAAACATTTTATCGAGATTCCTGAAAACGTAACGCGAGTTTTTATGCTGGCTTAGCGAATTATCCCGCACAACAAAATTGTTCCAAATTGATTTGAGGCTAGCTAATTGGTCATATTTATTTCGTACTACTCAACTTTTCACACTTGATTTTTGATATTGTCCAAAATTTATAGTTTTTAATTTTTTTCTTTTCGCAAAAATCTATTCGGTTTGGATTCAGGGGCAGTCGAAACATCCAGGACTTTGACCGTATATACGAGCAGTCTTGTACTTCAGCTGGAATTTCAGCAGGAATTAAAAAACCAATGGGCCCAAGATCGTTGCCCACTTTTGTTTGTTTACTAGGTCAGTTGTAGCCCATTTGGAAAACTACTTGCATAAAAAGCAATCTGTTTGCTCTTTTTGTCCGTGAAAGTGGTTTTCTAAACTATTTCCACAAATGCCAATAGCGCAAACAAAGCTATTCCCTCCCATTTCATTCAACATCTTGCCATTTAAAATTTGATGTGGGTGGATAAACAAGGTAAAAAAAAAACAGTTCAAAATTTCAGGGGTATCTAAGAAGCAACTCGCTTTTAATTTTATACCATTGATCAAATTGTAAGCGTTCATTTCACTTTTTTTGTTCGATAAGTAGAAAAACTTATTAACCCAAATAAAAAGAGCTCCCATTGTAAAATTTAGTGTGTTTCTTTTGTTGGTGCTATTACCAATTTTTTTTTGCTTCAGTTGCAATGGACCATCTCCTTATCGATCGATTTGAATGGATGAAAAATAATGGTAATATTGCCAGAAAAAGGTGGCTCCAATAATAGGACTGTACACAATATTTTGTATTCCAGAGAAAGCATCCGGTTATAGTTTTGTACCAATTTTTCATCGATCTGTATGCTTTTTACTTCAGTTTTACCGCGGCTTTTCTGAATAATTGATAGTTGTAAAAAAAGGAATCTGTTCCCTAGTAAGTAATCATTCTCCGTTTTCTGACACGCGTCGTTGTTTTACAGTTACCTTTGTTCACATTCTATCAGTCTTAGCCGGCAGGCCTATTCGGTCGCTTTTTCTTTCGATTGATCCTTCACCGCCAATAATTTACACGCGTAACCCCCCCCCCCCCATTTTTTGCAAATAGCCTCTACAAAAAAGTCAGACCTTTCTAAATTTTAGCCAATGTCCTTCTACTAGCCATTACAGCCTGCTTGATTTCTTCAATGAACCGTTACGCTTTCTCCCATTAAGACATTTTGACAGAAGTGCAATTTGAATTGATCCTTTTTGGGTTGAAAACCTGGGAAAATATGCGCAAATCAAGTTGAATTTGGACTATTCGCTCCACCAGAAAGACTAGAGCACAGGAGACTTTTATCGTTTTTTAATCCGCTCTTGTTTATTACTGGATTAGCAGCCCAGCATGTCAAATCTCCAGAGTTATTCTACGACCAGCGTCCAAAATAAATCGCCAGCGCATAAAAACACAAACTCGGCGGAATCTTGGCGCCGAAATGTCAGCGATAGGAGCTACCCACCTTCGTATGGAGATTTCCTAGTTCCAGTGTTACCTATCTCTTACCCTCAAAATCAACTTCAATTTGAAACCGAATTTTTATCGCCCACCGCAAAATCAGTTCCTCTCACAAATGAAACCCAAAATGTGCACGCAACCGGTATCAGCTTAGCTCCAGCTGAAAACCTGCCCAGAAATGACAATTTTAACCCGTCAATAACTCAACCCGAACCACAAATCAATTTGATTGCTTTATCAACTGGACGGAGAAAACCACCCTGTTCGCCTATCAAATCAATCGAAACCAGAGGAGGATCATCAGTTCCAGGAATTCCAGGGTCTCCAAGGAACCGATCAGCAGTCATGGAACTCCAGCCAATGACGCTAGTTCATGTCGGCTCCTCCGAAGACGCCCTTATACATGCAGATTGCATCAACTCTCCGGCCGATTCGGGAATCGTAAGTTGCTCAAACACTTCAATTTACGCGCCCATTTCAGCTTCACAGCCGCGCCTTCCGGCCTTGATGACAGCTTGTAATATTGACAAGTCGCATATTTATGGAAGTACGACAAGCACAGACTTGGTAAGCAATGCGAGTGGATCCCCGACTCCGAGTCCCGAAGAGGGCTCGTTGGTGATGCCAAAAGCAATGATTCTACCCTCGGAAACACCGTCTTCTGTTGCGACTCATGAGAAACAGAGCAGTGCTTTTAAACCGTATCTGCCCAAAAATTTACTCGCCATGAAAGAAAGTCATAACTCACAGAGATCAAGCTCGGACTCGGATCCAAGAGTGTCAGCTCCGTCGTCCAATCAGAGCAGTGGACCGAGTTCATTACGTAATTCATTGCGCAACTCGATGGTGTCATCAGAGTCGTCAAACTACTCGATTGTTTCAGAACAAAGCGGAACAAGTGAAGGATCTAGCTCCAATTATAGAAAACCAGGTGCTGATCAAATGATTTGGCCAGCTTCTTTAACCCCTACCTTCAGACCAGTAAGTCTCAATTGCTTTTTGATGAGCTATATTTTAATGTAACTTTTTGCTTCAAAAAATGCAGTTAGTTAAATGATTGTCTGCAACCAAATTCAGCTACCACAAAAAATCATCGCAGTGAGTTGAGGGATATATCATACTGAAGCCCTTTCAGTCATTATTCAAACGACACTATAACATTTCAAAAAAGTTTTCCCAGTGTTGAGACAAACCGGTTTGAAGTTTTTTGCTTTATCGTCTAATTTTATACATTCGTCTAATTTAATTGCTTACATTCCGTTTGCAAAAAAGCAAGATTTTGCATTCCACTACAAAGATATTTAAACGCGTGTTGCTGTTTTTTTTATAACGAAAGGTTTCTAAAACTTTTGCTAGCCTCTAGCAGATACTCAGTACAATCTCACAGCGGAGAATGCTGGATTATAGTTCCCCTAAGCCGAAAGAATATAGTATAGGTAGATTAGAAAAACAGTTTGAAAAACATTAATATCTAATTAATCAGATAATTCTGACCGCTAACTAACCCTAAAAATTTGACTATTGGCAAAAAAAATGAAAAATGTGTAATTCTAGGTGTTTGCGCGAAATGGATTTTATTATGAAACATCAGTGAAATCTTACGTGGTTTAGGAAATACAAACCTTGCAAGATTTTTGCGAGATTTGCATTCCTTTAATTACGTGGAAAGTTCAGTTTGAAAGCAACTGAATTGTGAATGCAACTCCTGCAAGAATCTTGCAACACTCTTGCTAGATTTGCCGTGCTTTGCAAGATTTATTTTGTACACAAGGGAGGGTTTGGTTTTGCACCCTACAATTTGAAAGGTCTTTTTTAATGCTATTACATTATATCCATTCTATTTCTGATTAAAAAACTATAAAAACGTTTTCCTATAACACTTCCTTTTCTAGTTTTTAGGTCAGAAAGCGCTTGTACACAACGTATTCCTGTAAAAGAAAATCTTTCTAGGTCACAATTTTCAGCAAAAAACTCCAGTAACACATTTTTTGTTTCTTTCTTTTAAGGTTTGCTTATGGCTTAAATTTTTTAGTTTGTCAGATAGAAAATCATCAATAAAACGGGTTTTATCAATCAAAAATTTAAAGTAGATATGGATAATCTTTACAAGAAGAATAAATTTCTTCAAAATTTTGCTTAATTTTTTGAGATCCACCAAAATGAACTTCCGAGGTTTTTCAAATCAATAAAAAAATAAAATGCCTAAAAGTTTTATGGTCTCAATGAATTTGGTAAAAAGTTCCAGAAGTGAAGATTTTGAGAACATCTGCTTCCTCAACAAACTTAAATGTTGGTCAACCAAAAAGTGGATTTCGTAAACTATTATTAAAGAGGATCCCCTGAGTTGTCTCAGGATGTCAAATCCCTATCAGTTATATCATATAACGTTTTACAATAAACCTCGGCTAGCCTTTTCAAAAATTACGAGTGTTTTCTAACAATGAAATCCTCACTATTATGTCGACTTTCACAAAAAATCAAACTTTTTTAGTTCATTAAAAAGTCCGACAAACTTTCTAATTTTTTTGTTCATCCTGCAGCAGTTTGTGACTATTTTTCATTAAAAAAGTAAGTTTGTGAAAACCAAAGATACTGCTTAGAGAATAGCTCGCAAATTTTTTAATGTGTTGCCAGATTTGAATGAACCTTTTATCAACTATGAGCCGATTCTTTTTCTCTTTAGACAAATCAATTTTTTTAACGGCAAATGACAATCAACTATTATGTACAACAATTATTTAAAAAATTCTTGCCTATTGAAATTGCCATGAAAAGTTTTTTAGTTGGTCTTAATTTTACTCCTTTTTGAGAAATCATGATTTAAGAAACCAATTTTTTTTGCGCAGGTTCGTTGCTTAGTTGTTTCGATACAGCATTTGCTGAATTGGCAATAATACATTTTTGCCTCAAATGATTATGCGAGCATATCCGACAAAACAGTACCAATCGCATTATTTCTGCCTCGTTTCGGTACTCCGGTAGATCGGTCTCGGGTAGCTGGCCGATTGACAACATTTCAATTCATACGTAAATTAACCGTAATTATCGGAAATTAAAAGTCAACAAAGAATAAAGAACTGTCATAAATTACGCAAAAAGAAAACAATAAAAAGTCAACTTTAAAATGGCGCCTGAACAATTTGTGAACTTTGTTTCAATCTTTCAGTTTTGGACTTTTTTCACACACTGTACTTCGTTCACCAGAAAACTCATTAGTTACGACCTTGGTTTTTTCTCGCTAAGAATTCTAGCGAGAACACGCATAAAAAAAAACTCGCACAAAAAAAACCGTATAAGATAAATGTACGGCAACGCAAAAAGTTTCATAACTCTCAATAAATTCTTAGGATGTTCAAAAGTAAAACACCCCGTCGTTTGTCACTATTCAAAATTCTCTTGAGTCAAATTTCGATTCCAAATAATTATTATGCAGAGACTTTTTGTTCGTTTAGCACCAAAATTGAATCCAAAAACCTGATTGCATTTGTACAAATGTGATTTTACTGAGTTTTTCCACACATTTGAACAATATTACATCTCAATAAAAATCGAAAAAGCGCAGAAAACAACCTGTGATTTGTGATAATGAAAATGTATTGAACTTCGATATACTAGAAAAAGCTAAACACTAACTTTTAGATGCCAAGTGACCTCGCAAACTACATGTGATCACACGTGACTCTTTTTTGCAGATGAAATTGAATCCGTCCGATTATTTGCTGCCTCATGATTAAGAAAATGGAAAAAAGAACGCTCCATACTATTAAGTTTCATTCAGCAGATAAGAAAAAACCAAATTCTAAACAAAATTGCCTGGCTCAGTTTAAACCCAAAAAAGATGTCTAAAATATAAACACTTTATCAAGAACTAGATTAAGTTAGTCATAATGCTTGAAAATCATTGGAATGGTATAATTTTGCGGTGTGCGTTTTTTCTCCTTGAACACCGGACAATAATATCCTTCAGATTGTATAAAAAATTTCCCTCCAAAATGCTTAATAAGAATAGAAATTTAGTGAATAAAAGACCACCCAAAGCATAAATATTCCGCACTAACAACAATGCTATCACTCTCTTTTTTTTTACCTCAAAAGGTGTAGTGGGAAATACTTTCGAAAAAATAATCTAACAAAAGCAAAAATTTGTTCATTAAAAAACTATCAATTTCAAAATTTCCTGAAACTATTATTCATATCTGGGGACCTAAGAGGCAGTCAAATTATTCAGAACTTTTATCTTTTTTAAAAGCAACTCAAAATTTTTTATGAACTTTGATTTTTTCGAATTTGTTTAATTACTTTAGACTGTTTAATTACTTTAATATATAACTGTGATTGAACTTTTTTTGTGTGATGCATATTTCTAGTATGTTGAAATCTATTGACTATTCATTACTTCATACAAAATCAGAATAGCCGTTTCGTGAGCATTGAATTACAGAATGTCTACCAAATGCAAGATTTGTACCTTTGAACTTCAAGGTTGGCTGGCGAGTAAATTATCAGGCTTAGATACCAGACACTTCAATCAGATTTGACTGATGCCTTTAATCTTCTGATTAAGTTATGGACAATCCTAACTGACAAACTAAGCTACGAACAAATACTGCTTCTCAATTATCACGCGGCTTATAAGCAGAACAGTTTTAAGAGCTGCAACAGCTACTTAAAAATCCTGTATCACAAATGTCAAAATTAATTCATCTGAATTAAGCAAATATGGCCAAATTTCTTTCCCATTAAAACCCCCTCCCATTAAAACCCTCTCCCTAAACAAAAACTGTAACCCCATCACAGCAAAAAAAAAAAACATTAGGTTGGTAGGATATAATTTTCCGGGGGCTATGCTTTATTAGAGTCTAGTCGATCTGATGAATTTAACATAAGAAAAAATAAATCATTTTAAAAAGCGCATTAAGATAGTTTTTAGATTTTTATGCTCTATTAGATTTCTGCATTTATTTCAACTATCTGATGATTTAGCTTCTAACCTACAATTAGAATACCTTGAAAGCACCAAGAGTATTTGCAATTACCCATCTAACCGGTTAAATTCTTCTCTGAAGTTGGAAATCTCAGTTAAGTGACCCTTTTCAAATAATTGCGCTCTCCTCTTACGCACCTTCATTTATGATTTTGAACTCCAATTGCAGATCAGTCAAGCAAACAGAACCTAACCATTCAGCTCAACATGTACTTCAAGTAGTCACAGCAATCCACTAGACCAGAACTACTATGGCACCAGTTGCAAATTAATAAAACTTTAAAAAAAAATTTTTTTTTCATGAAAAGTGTTTTTTTTTCTATGGAATGATCTCATTGCTAAATTCATTCATTTCCGCGGGACACGTTTGAATGTTTTTGAAAATTATCATATAAAACAACAAAAAACTGAAATTCTTTTTTTTGTTCCGACCATTGAAAATGGGGAGGAACTTTGTATTAGAGTATATTTTATCATCGTACTGGGTTGAGTAAAATCATATTAAAGCCTCTTCAGTCGTGATTTGATCCACATTAAGAAATTCTGAAAAATTTCTCCCAATGTCGAGAAAAACCGGTTTAAAATTTTTGATTTTTGTCTTAATTCGAGCAAATAAAGCAAACGAGCAGACTTACAACAGATAAATTATGCCTAATTTAAAAACTTAAAACTAAATTTTGAGCAAATAAACATAGTTTTTGAAGTTTTTTTGCTCCAATTTTGTAATAAACAATTTCAAAAAATCATAAATTTTCTGCAAAAAAAAGTTTTGAATCAATTTTTTCTTAAAGTTTTTTTAGACATGTTTCTTCAAAACTTTTTGTCCAATTTTCCTTTATTACTATGACTATCAAATATGCCTAAATTATTTTTCTACTTCATATCCTTTCATCAAAACAAGCAGAAAAAAAAATTAATTTGGAAAAAACGTTCTGAACCGTAGTTTTCTAAAGACTATGGTCGGAACATTCTGTATTACTTGCACAGTAACCGGCTA